AATATTAAGACAGAAAAAACATAAGGTTTTTTTTTACAGAGGTTTGTATAGAATTACCAATCGTATATACATACAATATAATAGTATTTTACTTAAAAGTGTATTGTCAGGAATATGAAGAACAAACCTGTATAGATTACTTGTATATATTAAACTTTTTATAATTCACTTAATTAATAACTCTGGTAAATTGTTATTAACTTCTTTAAGATGTTTGTACAAAGTTTATTTAAAAAAAAACTAATTTTTATTACAAATAAATACAGGGTTTCGAGAATATTAGTTAAGTATAATAAAAATATATTTTTGACAGCACTATTTTAAATAACAAAGATCGTATTTATAAGATCTAATTTTTAGTTTGACAAAACCTACTGAAACCAAAAAGCTAATTTTTCTATTTTTGATTTATTCCAGGTTTGTTGTTGAGTTTTTGCATTAAGAACTTTGTTACATGCAGCAATTTCGACAATAAGAAGCTTCTTGAGAGCTATATATACTTCGTAAAGCTTGTTATTTTCAATATTATTAGTTATAATTTTCACCAATGTTTCAAATGCTTTCATATCTTCTATTAATTCTGTTTTTCTATTTTCAATCTCTATATAGCACTCAGAGATAGATGAAATAATATTATAACTTGACATTTTAGATTCTGGATCAAATTCTATTTTACTACCTTGCAGAATGTTATTCTAAAGATTATTTATTAAATGAATTCTTAAAAGATTTTTTTTGTTAAAGGTGATAAAGGGGTAATTGTATCAATATACCATGGCTTTAAATTTAGAAAAAAATTTAGATTTTCTGCTATATATATTTTTGTTAGATGTTTATATATAAGATAAGTACTATGTATAAATGCAGAACAAGAGCAAACCCAAGAATATATATCTGTATAATATCTATTTTCATCATTTATATCTTTTGCTATAGCAATTCTCCAGTCTTCTTTGAATAAATCCCAATATAATAGGAATTCATGATTGTAGAGATATCTTTGTTGAGTATTTTCAATATCAGGAACTAGATTTCTTGTAATAATTTGTGTCAGACAATCTAAACATAGCCTATTACAATTATATTTATAATAATTGTATTTAAAGTTATACCAATATGATTCTACAATCATCATGGTTCTGGCGATAGATATTGTATTTGGATAGGACAATTGTGTAAACAAATTCCAATTTTTTATATCATACCAGTTTGTCTACAAATATTTTTATAGCTTATTAAGATTATTTTGATAACAGAATTAGTAGATTTCTAGAATACTTTGATAC